ACAGGAAAAAATAGAGGAGATGATGACTCACCTCAGTGCCGTCGGGTGACAGATATGTTTGGGGGGTGAGCCCCCCGACCTCTGCTCCGCATCATCGGGGCAAGGCCGTTTCGACCCCACCCCCTGCTCCTGGGCAGAGGGGCTCGCTCCCCTTGGACCATAGGGCGCGACGGCGGAGCCATCCTCCTCCGCTGGCACCTCGAGCATGGCGGTAGAGCTGCCCGCCCCTGTTGGTTCCTAGGGCAAGCTGATGGTACGGCCCATCTTCGCCGGCTCCTCGGACGTGCCCTCCCCTCTGTGGAACAGGAAGTGTCCCAACTCCTGCAAGGACAAACTGATACCTATCAGCACATCCTTGTTCTCCAGGTCATCCCACTCGATGTCGTCGACTACCTTGTCGATGTCTCCATCATCATCATCATCATCGCTATCAGTGTCCTCCCCTCGCTTCTTCTTCCTCTTGTCCTCCTTCGCCTTCCTCAGCTGCTCGCCCTCGGCGTGATTTGCCGCCCTCACAAATGAATCCCTCAGCAACGGTGCTGGGTGATCCATGAAGACGAGGTCCCTCGGTTGGTCCCATCCCTCTCAAAGTTAGTATCAAGAGGTCGGGAAATCAATTGAAGTGGAGGTATGAGGGGGGAAACTTACAAAGACGACATGGCCTAGTTCTGGCCGCATCAGAGGATGTCCCGACACCGGGTAGACAAAATCGAGGGGGGCGCCATCATTCCACGAAGGCTCCATCGCCTCCTTAATGCATTGCGCGACCTTGGAGTGGGGGAGCACTCCCTCAGCAAGCGTCGTTCCGTCGAATGACGCCTTGGGCGCCATCGCGTACAGCAGGAGAGCGCGCATCATCAATGGCGCCACCCTCCTTGTGTGGTAGGCCCCGATGACGCCCAACTCCTTTAGGCCACTCTCCTTTGGGATGTGGATGGCGACGATGTGGTTCGGATCTTCTTCTTGTCCTTCTCCAAAATGCCCCACTTCCTCCATGACTCTGGGGCCTCTTTGATTAGGCGTTTGGTGAACTCTAGCAGAGGGGCAACAACGTCATTCTTGAGGTAGAACCACCGTGAATGCCACCCCTTATTGGACGTTGATAGCCGCATCGGTGGGTACTCACCGACCCGGTTGTTCCGGAGTTGGATGCCGGCACACCCCATCGGCATGTGCAGCTCGCCTGCTCGCTCTTCTCCCTCTTCTTCTGGAGGGTGATGGCGAAGAAGTACCTCCATAGATCAAAGTGGGGGCTGATCCCTAGGAATCCCTTGCACAAGGCGACGAACGCCGTCATGTGCTGGATCCCATTGGGGTTGAGATGCTGCAGCTCGATCTTGTAGTAGTGCAGCAGCCCCCAGAGAAATCTGTTAGCAGGGGTCACAAACCCATGCTCATGGAAGTGGGCGAATGACACTTTGTAGCCATCGGGCGGCGATGGCAGATCCTCCTCACCGAGCAGCAGCCACTCCTCGACCGAGGTCGGCGCACTGAGAAGACCGACGACGGACGAGGCCCTCCATGCGCTGGAAGGTGATGTCAGAATAGCACCACTGATCCATTGGAGGTGGGGGCGGTTGGATGTGGGCTCGATGGCGGCGGGGATGTGGAGATGGGGAACCCTAGGCGATTGGTGGCACGGTCATGGCTATGGAGGCAAGGATGTAAGGTATGGAACCCGGAGGGGGGTGAACCCTTTGGTTTTATAGGGGCGATGAGTGCGAGGAAACCAACCGCCCGCCTAGATCTCCGTGCCTACCACGATCTACCACAATGTCTCGCTGCGGGACGTGCACACTCAATCTCTATCCATTCCCTCAGAAAACTCACCGGATGTTTTGCCTCTCCGGACGGGCCATGACTTATCATGAGTACGAGGAATATGATCTAAAATCGCCTCTATGGCCCGACTGGGCCCAGGAGTTCACAGGTCGGCCCATCAACAGGTTCGACAACTGCTCCAAGCACCTTTAGGGTAAGAGGAGGAAAGGGATGGGCCCCGCTAGCGGCCGGTACCCAGGCGCACGAGCACCACGGGTATCCCAGCCCACGATCGAGTCTCGGTCGATTATGATCCATGGTTTATTTCAAAGAAAGGTACTTAGCCCTCGGGACTGGTAGAACGGACCCGAGAACTATATGGATTGACCACTGAGAATATGGGGTAAGTCGCCAAGTTGACCCAAGCCGGATCCCCGCAAACGGGATGCCGGGGGCCCCACTCAGACTAGCCCATTAATGGCTCACCTGGTGCCATGATTCGCCCTTATAGGAAAATCGTGGCACGGCTCGGCCCCTCCGTTTTTATCTGAAAAAACGCTTGAGGGAAGACAATCGCAAAGACGAACCGATCCTCGATTGGGCCCTTGCTATAGAGGGGGCTCGAGGAAAGGGAATCACCGCCCCCAGGTCATGCTGTGGGCAACAAAAGAAGGCCAAGGCCTTTGGAGTCCTCCCGTTAGGAAAAGCCTTTGAAGGAGTATTCTACTCCTCCGCAGGCTTAGGGGCTACTATCGGGGACCAATACTAGGGTACCCGAAGAGAAGGAGCTAATAACCATCAACATTGACACATTTGAGCAGTCAAGAGCGCGACTACTGCTCCAACCGACCCATACGTGCGTAAACTCCGCCTCTCCCGACCCCTGAGGGTTGGCTCCACCTCTCCTGACACCGAGGTCACGGGCTCCGCCTCGCCTGACCCCTGAGGGTGGATCCTCCTCGTCCGACACCGAGGCCACGGGCTCTGCCTCGCCTGACCCCTAAGGGCGGTCTCCGCCTCTCCCGACCTCTGGGGGCGGGCTCCGTCTCGCCCTACACCGAGGCCACGGGCTCCGCCTCACCCGACCCCTGAGGGTGGCTCCGCCTCGCCCGACACCGAGGCCGTGGGCTCCGCCTCGCCTGACCCTTGAGGGCTGGCTCCGCCTCACCCGACCTCTGAGGGCTGGCTCCGCCTCGCTCAACACCGAGGCCATGGGCTTCGCCTTGCTCAACCTCTGGGGGCGGGCTCCGTCTCGCCCGACACCAAAGTCGCGGGCTCCGCCTTGCTCGACCTCTAAGGGTTGGCTTTGCCTCGCCCGACCCTTGGGTTTGGGCTCCGCCTCACCCGAGCCTCAGGTTTGTGCTCCACCTCGCCCGGGCTCTAGGGAGGAACTCTGCCTCTCCCGACCCTGAGGCCGGGGGCTCCGTCTCTCCCGACGGAGACCCGTACCGCTACAAACCACTCCAAGTCTAAGCATATGGGCCTGGGTCAAAGCTCTGACACCAGGGAAGAGACTGGCACGCCTCGATGTAGCCCGCGACCCACGACGGGCCATACCTGGGGGTTCACGTCAGGAATAGCGTTGGGCGTATCGATGCTGTTCTGCCTAACCCCTGTACGAACACTGACGGGCGCGTTAGTTCACCACGATGTCCGCCAAGATGGTGTGGAGCGCCACGACCGGGAGACGATGTCTGCACATGGTGCCAGTGACGGACAGGGCCACGATGTGGAGCTGTCCCTGTTGATGTCTACAAGGTCGGCGGAACCCACGTGAAGGAAAAGAAGGACCCGACGATCCTAGAGGACTTATGCTCCTTCTCATTTCTCCTTTTTTCCCCTCCATTGTAACCCTTGCTTTCCCTTGACCTATAAAAGGGAAAGCAGGGCGTCCCACAAGGGGCATCAAACCAACGATCGAAACTCATCGCAACACACCATAGGAGACTCGAATCCGATCAACTCATCGAACCCCGAACATACAACCGAGCAGCGACCGAGCTCTCGGCATCCGTTCACCATTTCCATCAGAGACTTGGGACATGTCTCTCTCGCCCGTTTGTAACCCCTACTATGAACTTTCAGTGCTAGTAACATGAGCGACAGGGCAACGAAATGGACGTCGGGACATTCTGCCTGAACCAGTATAAACCTCGTGTCCTCTTAATACACCATCCGAGCCAGACGCGTAATATTAGAAATTTACTAGTCCATGGCAACTCGAAATACCGACAATATGCAATATCACGATCTATTTTTGCAACATCCATATAAAATACTTGCAACATACCTCCGATAACATCTGAAACACTTGAAACATATATTTATAACATAGGGGGAGGAAGAGGACATGGCCAGTTGATTATGGCCTCGGAGTGGGAGCCGGCGCCGAGCGGTAGCGCGCGAGCACCACCAACACGGGTCGCACTTTGTGGGTGCCCTTGGCTCGGTGGGGACCAACCTGAGGCATGCGACGGCACCACCAGCGCCAGCAGAGGTAGGCCCGATCTCGTCCGCATCGCTGGATGCCATTGCCGAGGAAGGATACGTGCCGAACTTTGTGGAGAGGAAGAGAGGCGGAGGCTGATTAGTTGTCGCTCCTAGCCTGAGGTGCCGTCGAAGAGGGATGGAAGGGTCGGGTGGGCGCGACGAACTGAAGCGATGCGATGGTTGGTGAACTACGGTGGAGAGGGAGGAAGGCGGCCGACTGCGCTCAGGTGAGGTGGAGATGGAGGATGGCGGCTCGCCAGCCACGAGAGCGCTGTGGGAGCGCGGTCACGGTGGAGCACGGAATTGGAATTCGGCGGCGAGTGGGGATCGGGGAATGACGTTTCTAGAAACTCCTGAGTGAAGAAAACAGCCAAATTTTTCTTTTAATCAAACAGCCGATCGGAGGAGGCGTTGGACCGTTAGTACAGTCACACCCTACGACAACAGGCCATTCGGACGACGGGACGCCTTGACCCCGGCATTTCCATTTTTTAATTTCGAGAAACGGTTGTTTCTGTCGATTACAGACTCACCGGTCTAGCTAATGTTTTTTCATTTCGAGGAACACGGCCCATATAAATGACCGAATCTAAGGGTCTTGCGGCTCAACAATTTTCTCTTGGCCCAGCCCATGCGTGCTCGCCTTCGTCCACGTCCTAAGGCCGACCGCTGCTCATCCCGAGCACCGACGGCGCCCGCCGACCTCGTCGCTTACGTCCGTGTGCGCCGCTGGGGGTGGGAAGCTGGTGATGGCCCCCGTTGGGAGACAGAGGGAGAGAGGCATTAAGAGATCGAGTGCCACAAAAGACAGGATAAAAAATATGTTGAAGAAGCGGCTTCCGCTACAACGTGCGTTCTTCTTTCAACGAATCGTTTGCTTAATCTTCCCTTGATCTGTGCGCCTGCCCAAATTTCCAGTGTTCAGCAATCGATTTTGGTTGATTGCGTACCAATTTTCAATTCTCAATTTAGCTCTTTTATATGCTCATGTCCATGATCTAATAAGGTAAGGATTCCTGCGACCTTGCACGGTTAACCAACATGCGTCTTTTTCAGGAGGCAGAAATTCGAGGCTGGAAGTGTCTTACCTGTACAGGTTTAAGTTTATGAGGTTCTTAAATCTCTGGGAGATGACCATTCTTCGGCGAAAGAAGAGTAAAAAGGAGAACCAGCAAAAGGCGAACTTGATTAAAAATATGGGTCCGATGGAGACGAAGGAGGGGCGTAAGTGACTTAATTCTATGCTTTCTTGTTGTCTTCATGCCTTCTTTATAATGAATTTCATAAAACATTACCATGGTTTAAGCTGAAGCTTCCTTCAGTGCCAATGCAAAAGCATCTCAGCCATGGCCCATGGCATTCAAATTTAATATTAAGTTTAGTCTGAGTGTCTGACTAAGTACGAGATAGATCATAGAATCAACATGGTTTTTTTATTTGTGCTCTGGTAAACTGTTGGAGAGATAGAGTTCTTGAGTTTCTGCTGTTAATAAATCCTTTACAAAGGATGTACAGCGCCTCAACTGAAGTAAGTAGTACCTCCCCATTCTCTAGCTGCTTGCACTCAGCACTCTTATTCTTTCGGCACAATACATGCTGACCCCCTCGAGGCATGCTATATGGCCATCTTGTGCATGGTGGCTGCTCCAGCTTGAACTGATGTTCAGACTGGGATATCGGAGTGGATGGTTTATCAGTTCAGTGGAGATTCACTTTATATGGACTCCTGAGTCTATATATACATCATAAAGCTGGGATAAAGAAAAGGGCTACTGTACCAACATGCAAACTATTATCTCTCCACAGCACATGCATGCATATTTCTATGCAAAAGAATTTCTTTAAGCGCTAATGAGTGTTTGCCTGATTCCACAATATCTAGTGTGTGGAAGTGAAACAAAGGTTTAATCATTGATGATATAAATGTGCCCATGCTTATTATGGACCCTTGCTGTAAGAGTCAGTTAGACATTTTACCTCTTAGTACTGAATTGTATGACTTAACTCCCAGTTATTTGGTCAAACTAGTGCTTATAAGTGGTAACCAGTCAGAGCACCTTAAACCTGTACATGGCCTCACTACTAGTGCACCCATTTCAACACTATTTTAGATATGCTATACCTGAAGAGTAGTCTAGGAAGAGAGGGCTAGGAGCCAAGGATACATGGTAGGAAGATTCATGGGAATGTATGTATTGACTTGCTTGTATCTTATTATGATCTTGTTTAATGCTCCTTAATGTCACAAATTCTTTGTAATATTGACTTCCAATGAATGGTACCATTGTACCAAGATGCAACTTTGACTACTTATATTAACACAATAACTTAAGTGTAACATTGTGGAAGTATCATATCTCATGCTATACTCATGTGGCAAATCTGAATCTCAAGATGATTTTATTGGGCTGTGATCAACAATTTTAACCAGGAGTTTCCCTCAGAGACTGGATTCATCAATAGTTAGCTTGATTATAGTTCTTTTTGCCTTATTTTCTTTCTTTGTCCCAATATACAATATGATATGCATCAGTACATGTATCTTGTGTCATCACAAATTTCTATTGGCTCTGCTTTTATGGAAATGATTCTGTGCACAGGTTCCACCACATGTTTTTGGAGGGATCCAGATGCAAAATTTTGCATCATCTGTGGAGACGACCAGGAAGTGCATTTGGAGCTGAAGTGCCCGTATAACTATCTTTCCCCGGTCACATATGTTCCCTGCAGAGCACGACTTGCTCTCTGGGGTAATTACACAACCACACTTCGTTACAAGTGCCCAAGGCATAGAGAGGAAGAAATGAGAGAACCTCCCATGCACGACGAAAGGAACTCGAGGTGCCTCGAGTTCATGCGGTGCCTTGTGCGTGTGAACAACTTGCCACAGCGCTACCACCCTGAGCAATTTGCCGCACTGTTCAGCAGGTTTGGCCAGCTGCGGATGTGGCATATAGCGACGCGCAGCTCTGGGGCCTGCAAGGGATACGGTTGTGTCGTCTTCCAGCACCGTGAGCATGCTGAGGAGGCCATTGAGGCACTTAACTGCTGTGAAGTCAGTGAGTGTAAGCTGCGAGTCGATTGGGCTTACCCTTGTCTAAATTACTGTTGAGCCAGGATTATTCCGTGTTTTGGACTGGTGTTGGTTTTGATAAGTAAAGAAGTGGTGTTGGACTAATGATGTCTGCGTTGAGGGATTGGTTTCTGACCTTGCCAGCTTATAGATGCGCACGCCGACGCTTTTTGAACAGGACTTTTGTAAAAAAATTCAAGGAAGCCAATTTCTATATTTTGTTGGTATTACATGGTGTTTGGAATGGAGGAATAAAGTTTTCCGTTCCTCTCTATATGTTCTTGGAAAATTTTCTCACGTGTGAATGGAGGAATGAGCGAAAATTTTCCCACGTGTGAATGGAATAATGAGTATGTACTCCCCTTCGTACTGAAATATAAGGAATCTAAATTTGTCCAAAGTTAAACGGTGTTAAGTTTGATCTAATTATAAAAGAACAATATTCATAGATTAGCATTGTTGGACGCATTATGAAATATATTTCATAGTTTACATCTTTGATATGGTATAGATGTTAAATCTCTATATTAATTTAGTCAAACTTAATATTATTTGACTTACTAGAACATAAATTGGATCCCTTGTACTCCAAGACGAAGAGTGTATTTATTTTATAATTTACATCTTTGATATGGTAGATGTGTGTATCTAAGATGTTTAGATTTTTATTTTGCCTCTAGTTTTGTGAAAGGAAAAGGAAATGTTGCTTAGATTTTTATTTTGCCTCTAGCTTTGTGAAAGGAAAAGGAATTGTTTAGTGCTATTGTTAGTGTAAGCAATAGGGTTTCTAGCTAACTCCAAAGTTCCTATGCTACTTATATCGTCAAGCCCACCATAGTGCAAAGATTGCTCTTCCTGGCTTTGCTCAACAGCTGGCCAATCCATCAACTTGATGTTAAGAACATGTTCCTTCATGGTACTCTCTAAGATAGTCTACTACTCCCAGCTCGTGTGCTGCCTCAATCACTCATCCTATGGTCTCAAATAGGCTTGGCGTGCTTGGTACAGTTGGTTCCCTACATTTCTGCTTCAGCTGGTTTTGTTGAGGCCAAGTCAGAAAGCTCTCTCTTGTCTACCACTGGGGTAATGACACCGCCTACCCGCTTGGGCGCTCCTCTATGTTGATGACATGTCCTCAGTGCCTCCTTTGTGACACTCCTTCGGTGCACTATTTAGGCACTTTAGATGGAGTTCTCTATGAAGGACCTCGGTGAGCTTCACCACTTTTTAGCAATGCAGGTTCAATGTTATTTTAGTGGCCTCTTTATGTCTCCATCTTAGTACATGCTCAACATTCTTGTTGACATGTTTGATTGTAATCCTTAACTCATACCTGTCGCACCATACCAAGCTAAAAAGTCTCCAGTGAAGTTGGTGCTCCTATCCATCATTTGAGAGAGTTCCGCAATCTTGATGATGCTCTTTAGTACTTGACCTTCACTCGGGTCAACATCTCCTATGTTGTTCAATAGGTGTGCCTTCACATATGCATGAACTGCAAGAACCTCACCTTGCTGCTTTAAAGCGCATTCTTGCTACAATTGCATGCATATGGGTCTACTCTGTCCATCCCTTTAGTGATCAATGTGGTGTACTCTGACGACTGACTGGGCTCATGTGTTCAGATACACACAAGGCTATGTCCCGTTGTGCAGTTTTTCATGCTGACAACCTCATATCTTAGTCTTCGGAGCGACAGAGCACATGCTAAAAACTAAGCGACAGAGCATGTACATTGTCATGTTCTAGCGCTGAGGATGAGTACCGTGTTGTTGCCAATGTGGTCGATGAAGCTACTTGGTTGCACTAATTGTTACTGGAGCTCCACAGTCCTCTTACCACTATCTACATGTCTACCAACACCATTCAGTATCAGCGCATGAAACATGTGGAGATTGACGTGCACTTTGTTTGTGAAGAAGTTTCTCTCAGTGATGTTCACATCCTATATGTCTCTACTACTTAGTACGTAGAAATCTTCAGCACATGCCTGCCTTCTATAGCGTTCATAGAGTTCATATTGAACATCCATGATACTGATTATCAAATTGCGTGGGGCATGTTTGAAAGGATCTAGATGGCTAGAGGGAACGAATAGACTATAAAAATTTCTTCTACAAAGGCACAACACTAGAGCAAAGGTGATTAGCACAACAAATGAGCCTAATAGCCACTACTTGCTCTAGCTCTAGCTCTATAACACACCCAAGCAAAGCCCCTATTCAGTTCTAGCTAGTCTAAAACACAACACCACACAAAGCTACTAGCTATAGTAAGCAACTATAGCTAGCTAAACTAGTGAGCAACAAAGAACAAGCTACTCTACTACTAAAACTACAACTAACTAGAGAGCTATTGTACCAAGCAACTACCAGACAAGCAACATATATGAATGTAAATGCAAGTGAGAGTTGTGGCAAACCAACGAGGGCAAGTGATCAACACAATGGTTTATCCCTGTGGTTCGGTTGCTTGCCGCAACCTACATCCACGTTGTGGCAAGTCCTCAAGTGATGATTCATGCGCCAACTAGCATGACAAGATAGACCCACAACTTGGGTGCAGCAAGAATCGGTCAAATGGTGCAAGCTCCAAGCTATCTAGGTGGTGTCAAGATAGACCCACAAATCACTAGTTGGAGGCGGAGAACAATCACCAACACTCCCCTCAACAACCATAGCTGCTCCAAGCTATCTAAGTGGTCAACCACTAAGAGTAACAAGAAAACCATAGCCCAATCGAAGAACTAGTGCCACTAGATGCAAATCAACAAAGCAAATACACTAGATCTCTCCCAATGGATCAAGCACAAATCAAGAGATGAGTGGGAGGTGTTTTTGGAGGCTCAAGAGTGTGTTGGATTGCTTAGAATGCCAAGAGAGCTCTCAAAGAGGCTGTCCCTCCAAAAACTAGCCGTTGGATTGAGTTGGTTGTCTGTGTATAACCGGACACCCCCACCTGACTATGTGGTACGTGTAATGTTATGCCTAGCGCATAGTCTGATGCCCCAGAGTTAGCACCACCAGACTAATCTGGTGGCTTCGCACGCCTGAGACAAGAAACTAGTCATTGGACTCCCCAACAGTCGACTATTAGCACATGGTCCCGGTGACCGTCCCCTGGTGCACCACCGAACTAATCATGTGGTCACTAGAGAGCGACGAGAGAGGATTTTGGGCCATCGGATTGGTCTAATGCTTAGCACCGCCAATCCGGTGACCCCCTTTGAATATCCCGCGCAAGGAACATTGTTAGAACTTTGTCTATTGGTCCCTAAGGTTAGTCATTAGACTAATCACGTGGCTAACCCTAGCCTAAGTCTGCACTGCTCAGCCTCTTTCAGTGGCGCATGGTTCGGTGCCTCTGTCACCCTAGCACCAGACTAATCCGGTGGGTGAAGAAACATGCCAATTAACTCCTTTTCAGCCCTATTTTCAAATGTGCTAACTCCCTCAAGTGTCCACCACATGTGCATGTTAGTTTGCATTTTTTTCAATAAGTTTTCAAAGGGTTTTCACTTGCATCTCACCTTGTCACTAGGTCTAATGCATATGCAATATCATTTCACACCTAGTGGCACCTAGATAACTAAATAGACTTTAGAGTTCCCATCTTAATAGTATGATTATCTATCTTAAACCCAACCACACATTATATTGCGTCTTGACCAGTAAAACAAAATCCCTAGCATATACCTTTACCCTCAACTCCATAGGGTTTTGTTTCTCTTTCTTCTTTTCCAAGTGTGAGCTTACTCTAATTGGATTGATCACCCTTCATCCATTTCCAAGCCTTGCTCATCACCTTGGTGTGGACTTAACCTAGCTTAATCATACATCTAGCAAAAGGTCAGTCCACTAGTTGTCTCAATTACCAAAACCAAACATTGGGCTTTCAGTGTCAGATAGGTTGTTATTAGTGTCCTATTTGTTTATCCCGTGTATTGGGCTTAGGCTAATTGTGAAAGTGCATCTAGCCCCTATGTGGGTTTTGGTGGATTGAATGACAACACAATTATGGGACTAATGAATTTCATTAGACTTGTAGGTTTTTAGTCCTAGGTATGTTCTATTGTAATTGGGATCAATAAGCAAATGACATACAAATGAGCCTAAGGCATATTGGTGTAATGAATTGGCAAGCTTACGTGTGTCATGGTTAAATGAGGCATGAGGATTTGCATGTGGAATGGTCTCACTCTTGGAGCTTTCCTTTTCTAATCAAGATGAAGAATTGGTTTTCATATTGATATTCAGTTGTCAGTGCTTGTATGGTTGAGAAAGAATGATCGCTGAAAAGGAAGCTCATAGAAACAATCTTGTTCAAACATAAGACAATAATACAAATGAAATGATACTCAATATATGCTTATTGTTGATTCAAAATAAGATGTGGATTGATGGCTTGAGAAGGTGAAGATAGCAAAGAAAGGGCTTCGATGTACTAAGGAAGGGTGAAGGGCAAGCGACGGCTTGGCAATTGAAGAACCTAGCTAAGGTGAAGAAGAAAGTAATTGCATTTAGTTGAGGTACTAATCAAGCTATTATGACCATGTTGATGTGGAGGATCAAATCGTTAGAAAGGTGACTTTGGTTGAAATATGGAGTCTTGATCAAATGGTTTGAAAATTTCAAAGTCACATCTCAAGGCGGTTCATCTCAAGACATTGAAGGTGTTGAAAGGCCCCAAATGATCAATGCCAATTTGAAGAATGACAGGTTCAAGTGGTGGTATTAATTGTGAATTTATATTTCTTGAGTATAGCATGTCGTACTATCAATGGGGATGCAACCTAAGTGTTAGATGTGTCCTAGAAGTGCTCAAAACCAACACAAGTGTGAAACCCAAGAGATAAGCACTTGAGAGAGTTTTGATGGAGGGCAGGCTTGGTAAACTGGCTTGGCCAGTTTCTAAATCAGCTAGGCTGGTTTTCCTGTCCTGTACGACTTGTCAAAACCATAACGGCTAGTTGGTTTGCCAAACCAGATGAAAGGTCCTAATGGCTAGAGGGGGGGGTGAATAGCCTAATAAAAATTTCT